GTGGAGGGAGCGTGAGGCCTGGCGGGGGAGGGGGGGTGCTGTCAGTAGAGTCGTCAGGTTCACGTTGGAGTCCAGCATGTCATTCTTCTCCATTCCTAAATCATTTCCTTTCTTGCCCTTTTTTCTCTCCTGCTCGCGTGGTAGGAGTAAGTGTGCTCAAACATCGTTCGCCCTCCCCAGCGCTCGGGACTGGCCCGCACTGCAGAGGCGAGTGGGTGGAGGGGACCCGCAGAGGAGCGAGCAGGGCTGGCTGCCGCCAGATCGCTGGCTGCTCCAGACAGGTGGTTGATTTCAAGAGGTTTTATCTGGTCTGGATTTGTAATATATTGAGAACCTAGCATAAAGAAAATTTGGAGCAGGAAGCAGTCCTCCGCAACGTATAAAGGGGGAGCAGAACCAAGGGAGGTGAGCTGATAGGGGCAAGGCCCATGGTCCTCAGCGTGCGATGCTTCCCTACGGTGTCGGCAGCCACGGAAAGTGTGTCTGAAAACTGAAACGTGAGTTGGTATTCCACTTCCTCCCAACCAAACATCAATTTTAATTCTTTTTCTTTTTAAAATAGCAAACGGATGTTTCAGAAGACAGCGATGACGATGTGGATGAAGATGAGATTTTTGGGTTCATAAGTCTTTTAAATTTAACTGAAAGAAAGGTTGGTTTCACTGGGTGGCATCTGAGCTCCTGTTTCATTTAATGCATGATGACTTTTTATATCAGACGAGATTAACAATAAGGATATGTGCTTTTGTGAAATCTTACTGTAATCTTTTTTTTTTATGATTTTATTTATTTATTTGGGAGAGGGAAAGCACAGAGGGAGAAGCAGGCTTCCTGCTGAGCAGGGAGCCCAGTGTGGGGCTTGATCCCAGGACCTGAGCCGAAGGCAGGCGCTTAACGCCTGCACCATCCAGGCGCCCCATGACTCGCTGAGTTTTAATAGAAAAGGAAAACCAGCTGTTTACCCTCCTCAGAATAAGATGCCGGTCAGGCTTCATCTTCAGGTTTTACGTGAACTCTCCAGTTACTGCCACCTGTCTTTACAAGATGGACTGGGCTTGCTATTCTGGTGTGTGAGTGTTGGTCTAACGCTGTCACCATTGCTCATGGGGCCGTAAATAACCAGGTGTAGATACCTTGAGAAACGCGTAAGCTGTCAACACTGAGGACAGGTGGGATTTTAAAGGCGGTGGCAGGAGACTGCCCTCACTGTAAGGTTAGAAGGTGGTAGAAAGCACTTTGTTTTCTGCTCCAGGTGTGGCCTGTAGTGAACAGCAAGCCTTTCTTCGCTTCCTAGGGTACCCAGTGTGCTGAGCAAATTAAAGAGCTGATCCTGAGCTCCTGTGAGAAGAGCTGTGGAAAGAGCTTGGTAGAGCAGCTGGACACACATCTGAACGACACCTCCAAGCCTGTGGGCTTTCTCCTCAGCGAGAGGTTCATCAACGTCCCTCCTCAGATCGCGCTGCCCATGCATCAGCAGCTCCAGTAAGAGCCTGGGCCACATGCCCCCGCACAGTAGTTGTCCGGGGCGGACCCAGCAGTCGGCTGCAGTGGGAAGCGCGCCGCCCGCCGTCTCGGCAGCCTTGCGGCTCGAGCGAGTGGAGGGCCCTCCTGCCAGAGGCGTGTCCCTTCTTAACAGTGGGCTTCTTAATGGCTTGTGGCGTAGTCTGAATAGTCTTACAAGATGTCCAGGGTAGAAACACAGATGAGTTTGTACAGGCTTTTTACCCTCTACTGGACTGAAGTTTTCATCCTCTTCCCAAATTTCTGTGACATGGATAAAATGAACAGTTACTCCAGTAACAAACTGGGTACAGTTCCTCAATTCCACTGGGATGTTTTGTAACTAAGGAAGCCGCAGTCCTGATCCTGTGTCTCTGGCTTCTTGGGGTTTGCTGTTGTGTTTTTTTTATTTCTTTGTTTTAAAACGACCCTGAGATCATGACCTGAGCTGAAACCAAGAGTTGGAAGCTCAGCTGAGCCACCCAGGTGCCCCTGTTGTACTCTCTTAATGCAGGGGTTTTAGGTTTACAACATTTTAATTGTTCAGAAGAGCTAAGGATTGGCATTGCTGTGCCCTGAGGGGGAGCGGATGGAAATCGACTGGCCCATGCGGCATGGGTGCTCTTGCTCTGGGGGCGCGGTGCCTGGGTTTGCCCACTGATCGCTGGTGGGGATGTGAGGACAGGCTGAGCCTTCAGGTTTCCCGTTTAACAGGTTCATTGCTTTTTAGTTTGACTCTCATCCCCGCGCTCCCGATGCCCAGCTGCCATTCATTGGACTTCTGCTGCATGTTCTTTGTTTAGCCTTTCTTTCTGATCAGCTGGAGCTCATTTTTATTTGGTTTCACAGGAGGGTGATGTGCTTTCTCCTGGTCCTCTGTTAAAGAAAGTTGAAGTCTTTACATCTTTGATTAGCCAGATACATAGGGAGATGTGCAATTTTTAGAAGGCTATGTTGCCACTCCATGGACTATTCTAGAATCTAGAGGAATCTGTCCTGCCATGCCATTTCTGCAGTGTCAGGACTGTAGTCATAGTGCCGGACTCTAGTGCTTGGAGACCAGTTGTCAGATGCTTTAATGGCATTGGTTGTGGCTCTGTTAAACATTTTTTTTTTTAAGATTTTATTTATTTGAGAGAGAATGAGAGAGAGAGAGCACATGAAGGGGGGAGGGTCAGAGAGAGCAGCAGACTCCCCCGAGCAGGGAGCCCGATGCGGGACTTGATCCCGGAACTCCAGGATCGTGACCTGAGCCGAAGGCAGTTGCTTAACCAGCGAGGAGCCCCAGGAGCCCAACCACCCAGGAGCCCCAACATTTGTTTTTAAAAAACCAGATTCTTACCGGTTTTAAACTTCTGCAGAAGCAGAGCAGTGATGTTAACTGAATTTGAGACTCCTGTTATTTGCCGTGTATCCACAGCTCAGCATCTGAGGGATTCCTCCTCCTGCTTACTATAAAACACTGCCGTAGTCCATCACAAGTGCTGTTGCCTACGTAAGGAGAACTCATGGCTTAGAAGTGTCCAGATCTGATGTCTGTCCATCAAGCCCGTGTCAGAGACGACAGAACCCCCTGCAGAGGCCTCACGGGTTTTCCCTGTGTTCTGGTTTGTAGGATTTCACCCGGTTCAGCAGGCAGACCTTCTCTGTGTTACGCTTTGCAGGAAAGAACTAGCCCAGGCACACGAAACTAACAAGCCATGTGGGAAGTGTTACTTCTACCTTCTGATTAGCAAGACATTTGTGGAAGCTGGAAAAAACAATTCCAAAAAGAAAGGGAACAACCAAAAGGAGGAGGAATTAATGTTTGCAAATGCGGAGGAAGAATTTTTCTATGAGGTAAGACTGTCCTGTTCTTATCTATTTGTTTGAATGTAAACAAGGATTTTCTTGACAATCGGCAGGATTGACTGCTCTCCTGTTTATGGCAAAATCCTCTGAGGATGGCGGTTCTTTCTCCATATTGCCAGCGGCTGGAGGCTAATGCGGTGCCCGCACCTAGTACATTCGCAGCGGGTTCGTCACCAGCCCCCCAGCCCCCAGGGTGGAGCCTTGGGAGGGGAAAAGCCATGAACGTTGAATGGTGATCAGGCACTCAATATGCTTACTAGAAGATCTGTAATTCTAGAACCACTCCACGGGGTAGGCGTTAGTCCTGGTTTGCCGATGGGGACGTTGAGTCTGAGGGAGATTAGATCCATTATCTGAGGTCATGCAGGTGGTTGATGTGAAAGCTCGGGCAGGCCCTGCTCCCCAGTGATGGTTTACATGCTTCTCTGTGCTCTTGGTCCTGGATGTCCTCCCACTTTTGGGATTTCTAGCACTTTCTTGCAGAAAGGTGGCTTATGCCATGACAGACAACCAGACACCAGAGAATACGCTTTCTCACCCTGACCTCTTCTCAAAAATGTTAAGTAAATCTGAGGGGTAACTTACTTTCCTAGATTAGAGGATGTCTATTACTACCTTTTTAAGATTTTATTTATTAGAGAGAGAGAGCAAGCACAAGCAGGGGGAGCTGCAGTGGGAAAGGGAGAGGCAGAGAGGGAGAGGCAGGCTCCCCACTGAGCAGGGAGTCAGACATGGGCTCACACCCTGAAGTCAGATGCCACCCAGGCGCCCCCATCTGTCACTACTTTTAAAAAGCCTTCGACTAAATACTAAAGTACCACAGATTCAGCTCTGCCCTTATTTTTCAGGAAGTAAATAGTGAAAATTAAATTTTTTTTGCCTGAGCACCTTAGGCAGATAGTTTCAGGGAATATTTTAAGATAGTTTCAGGGATATTTTAAGATGGCCTGGTTACCGTTTTCACACGGCATGATTCCAAGGGAGCAGCCAGGACAATGAGGAAAAACCAGTGTTTGAAGACCATGCTTCTCATTAATTGTCAAATGTTACAAGTGTTTGTTTCACTTTTCTGTTGCAAGATTGAGAATCAAATGAGAATGAATATGAGTGAGTATGAATGACTTCAGAATTATAAACGCTTATAAATGGTGGTAGCATTATGTCACTTAGCTGCTGTTCACCTCTTAGGACTGGGACACTGCTCTCCATGCTTCTCCTGTAGGTTAGAAATCTGTTTGGTAAGCATTTTGTAACTTGGGCCTGAATATCCCATTTGAGCTTATTTTAGTCCATGTTTTGCTTCTGTTCTCTGTCATTCTCAGACACGTCAAACAGTATTCCTGACTGCCACGTAAATAAGTTTTGCCTTTGGGTTGTCTGAATTTTTAACTTACGGTTATATATTTGGTTCAGAAGGCAGTCCTGAAGTTCAGCTACTCGGTGCAGGAAGAGAGCGACACTCGTCTGGGAGGCAGGTGGTCCTTTGATGATGTCCCGATGAAGCCCTTGCGAACCGTGATGTTGATTCCAGGTGACAGGATGAATGAAATCATGGATAAACTCAAAGAACATCTTTCTGTCTGACCCATTTCCCATGGACAGTAGTGGGGTGGTTTTGTGTATATAAAATTACCAGAAAACAGCTCAGATTTACTGAAAAACTCGTGACTTTATTCAGAGTAAGGTCCTCTACAAAAAAGTAGGGCTCTGTCACCTATGTGTGTGACCCATTTACAAAATAGCTTTTTAAAAAAATTTGGTCAAATTATGAATGGTTGATTAAAAGCTTTTCCAATAAGAAGGAAAACGTGGAGTCGTAATTTAAAGAACTCAATAAAAACGTCTATTTTTTTATTTTTAAACAATATACAAAGTGTTATTTTTTTCAAGACTCTTGTGTGGGGTGTGTTCTCCTTGTTCAAGTTAAATGTCCACACCTCCAGCGGGGCTACGCTCAGGCCGGTGGGGGTGCGGGGGGTACTTATTGCACATCTTGCTTCCTGTAAAGATTCTGAAGCGTTACTGGATGGTGCATCTCTGCTCAGTAGTCTCAGGGCACTTCTCACACATTTTCTGTTCCTTTTTCATTGTTGATAGAGGTGAAAGGTGATCCACTACTTGATGGAGAATGTCCTTACTTTCGCTAGGAGGCAGGTTACTGAAATAGTACGGTGGCACCAGCTGCATAAATCTGTGGAAAACAGAAAGGTGAGAGTTTTTCCCTTTTTAGGGAGAGATACCAAACATTCCATGTGGGAACTTCCCACCCCGGGAGAATCTAGTTGTAGACCTGGTATTTAATTTGAACTCTCCCATCTCTATCTGCCTTTGCAGAATAAATACTTCCTGTGGTTTTCATGGAGTCAATCCAATTGCATTTCTAGAATAAGTTGGCTTCTCTAGTGTTCGCCACACAGTGGGTGATGCCCAGCACAACATGGGAAAGATGAGATCAGGTGTTCCAGAGAACTTTGGGTGGGTAAGAGAGGGGGTGTCTTGGCCTCTTTGTCTTACTAATACCACTCCCCATCCAGCTACTAGTTAGTTTTGGTTCCTGCCTTGAACATCACTGTCCAGGTAGGAGTGTGCGTGGACCCACATCTGCAATGGCCCCAAAAGACTGCTCTTCGTTCTCACTACTGCCCCCTGCAGTTCACTCTTGTAGCCACCGGAGTCATCTTTAAAAGTCTATACCGAGAGATGTTACTCCAGCTTAAAACTCTCCCAATTCTTTTGTACTGCGCTTAGGATAAATTCCAGACCCTCATTTGCCTCATAAGCCCTACACTTCTGGTACCTGCCTGCCTCCCCGCTCCCTTCCCCACTGGCCCTAGCCTCGGGGCACGTGTGTTCTCAGAGGGCCTTCCTCAAGATCTGCACCTGCAAACACTTTTTCTCTATAGCTTTTTGTGCCTTTTAAGAGGCACTATGCTGTTAAAAAAAAAAAAAGTGTGGAAATATTTAAGTAATCTCTACACCCAACATGGGGCTCGAACTCATGATCCCGAGATTAAGCATCAGAGCCTCCACCGACTGAGCCGGCTAGGATCCCCTTTGCGTGGTATATAATTTATGTTGTGATCCCAAAGAGAGGAACATTTAGATCAGAGAGACCATAAGTAGGTACGCTCAGTATAAATTAAACTGGTGCCGGCGTAACCTAACTGAGAATGTATTAAAAGCCAAACGTGTCATTTAGTCAAGTATGAGTTGGAAAGAACTCCCTTTTTTCTATTAAACTTACAGTTCAGGAGAGATTTCTGAGGTAATCCTGATGTAGTTGTTCTCAGATATGCTGAACTTGTGGAAGAGAACCCACTCCGGCATCTTCTTGGTGATGGAGTAACCGGACAGGGGATGCAGCTGAGCAACTTGCTTATGTGTTAGCATTAAGTAGTTACCGGATCCGTCCACATCCCGCGCAATCTACAAGGCAGAGTTTTTAAGAAAAAAGATTTTGTGTTAATATGGAGATCAATAGGGGCGCCTGGGTGGCTCAGTCGGTTAAGCGACTGCCTTCGGCTCAGGTCATGATCCTGGAGTCCCGGGATCGAGTCCCGCA